CAGTATTATATGAGGATCATAATTAGGTTTCTGTGGATGCAATCTCATCTATCTACATAGTTCACTGGCTGATTTGATGACCTATCCGAATGCTTTATCCTTAAGTTCTGCAGTTTGTATATCCATCGAGAATGTGGTATTCTCTTCACGTGAATGATACTGGAAAGGGACCTCTTGGCTGGGAATTGTATTCCAGAAGGCTATATATCCCATGTCGAATGGATAGTTATTAATTTGATATGGGCATGAGAAGCAATCTGCACTATAGCATTATATTCTTATTGAAGAAGTGGCAACTGATGTCTGCTGTCTTTTATAAGTTGCTTCCATTATCCTTGAATCCGACTCTCTATAATAAAAGCTCAAACACTGGTATATCTTTATCTATTCAATATATGAGAGCTGAAATTTCTATGGCTCTAGTGGAATTCACAAGATGGCTGTCAAATTATTCATAATTATCTTACATGTTCCTTGATATGGTAAGCTAACTTCAAGTTGATTGTTGGGTGATGGCTCCCTGCTTTTTACCATTTAAGTAATGACTCCGCCCATCCCATGGAAATATTTCTGTTTCAAATCGCAGGGAGGCAGGATGATTGAGGTAGAGACCTGAGAGAAAGGCTTGACAGAAGGCACTCTCCACCGCGTAGATACTCACCAGAGAGAGATACAAGAGCAAGACATGCGTCTCATGGTAAGATGTTGATCTTTATATTTGATTTTTTTTTCTGTGTTGTTTCCTTAACAGTCATCATTTTATATTGATTTTCTTTGGATATTTGTTCTAATTTAATTTTTAGCAGACAGTCCTCGCTCTCTTGGAAAAAGGAGTTTAAGTTTGTCAACAGAACTTCTCCCCCTCTTGGAAAAAGGAGAAAGAAGTTCGTGAAGTATGATGATGATTAAAACATTATACCTACTCTGATTCTCTGCTATCATCTGCAAATGTATGCCATGTTGCCGTAGCAGAAAGCAAATGGAGAGACAGCAGGTAGATGGCCATAGTGATCATTCTGGAGGCTTCAAAATGTCAGATGGAACTGAAGATCAAATCAGAGATAAAAGGCAGACATCCTCTGATTCCAAAAATCTTCCTGATGACCAGGTTTGAGTCTTTTGCAGTTCACAGAAATACCGTATTACATTTGCATGTAGTCTTCCTTTGCTTGTGGTGGTCCCATCAATGTCATCTTTGTCTTCATACATTTACGATAAGAACCTACAAGGTATTACAGCTTGGTTTAAAAAAACTATCTGGCTGTTGCATCTTGAATCTTTACTTTGCATAATGCATTTAGTTTTGCATCATTTTTGACATATCAGCTTCGAGTCTTTGGCTTTGGGTGCTTTCCTTCCAAAACTACTCAAATTAGGCACCTTAAAGATATACAATCGTCAGACATTCCCACGTAACAGAAATTGATTTCCCAGGACTTTTATTCATGGAACCTCTATAACTCAGGTCTATGATCATCCTGTTCTTTAGTAGTTCAGTACAATTTAATATAAGCACGTGGCAATATAAAGTTCTGTCGTTGCATATAGGGATTCTATCCAAATCTCTGTTAGTCAGGCATTTTCTGAGATTAATTATTTAAATAATCTAAGAGAATCATATTATGCCTTTTTATCTTAATAAACTACACCATCTTCTTAGCTTTATATTCCACAGTGAAAATTTTTTGCTCCTGATATTCCTTAAATATGTAGATGCATTGAACTTTTGTTGTATGCATTAAATACTCTCTCCACTCGCTGTGTGTTTATGCATGTTTTTAATTATCACAAGTTAGTACTCGTTAATATCAAATGTATGTTAACATGTGATGTAATAATTCTTTTGGAACTGTTTTTAGACCTCATTTGCTGTTTTGTTCCTTAATTCTTACAGGGATGCTGATACTGCTATGGATGCTGTTGAATTTGTTCTCCAAAATTTTACAGAGATGAACAAACTTAGGGTTCGAATGCAACATTAGGTGAGTTGAGAAACTGTGGACTTCACTATCTACTTATAAATGAACCATGGACGGGGCTACAGTTCTTAGATGCCATGGACATGTTTGGGTGACTTATTCTGAGAAATAAGCACCAAATATGTGGCTTATTTTGAATTAAGTGGGCCCAGTTGAAAACAAATCACACATTTGGTGCTTATCAAATGGGGCTCAATCGTGCCCTTAGTATTAAGTGATAAGTGGAATTAATACGAGTCATTTAATTCCACCATTCACTTAACATATAACCTAACATCATATAGATTGGAGTTATAATTTAGTGAGGCTAAAAAATATTATTTTTCAAGTAATTCCTCTCAATTCTATTTAGCCCAATTAGGATTATATACTCGTTTTCCNTTTTTCAAGTAATACCTCTCAATTCTATTTAGCCCAATTAGGAGTATATACTCTTTTTCCTCTCCAATTTCACACCAATGGGGAAGGAAAAGGGAAATGATAAATCTAAATGTACAAAATGTTTTACCAAATTTTAGACAATTTGGACACTTGGCGCCCTTCTATTAGAGGGATGTCTACGGTTATGTGAGTGTAGCATGGTCCAAAGGGAAAACATCGTTTGGATAAGTACTACCGCTTGCAAAAGAGCATGGCTACATATCTCGAACCGCATGGAAGCTGGTTCATCTTGATTCGAAGTTCGGTTTTTCTCTATTTGGCTAATTCCGCGCTTGACCTCTGCGCCGCACCGGGTGGATGGATGCAAGTGGTTGTCACAAAGTTTTTAATGAGTCAACTTCATATTGCATTCAAATAAATAATGTAATTTTTTTTCCATTCATTAGGTATTTTTACATGATTTATCATATTAATATTTTAACAAGACATTTTTGTAATGAATATAATAACTTACATGACATTTACCCTCAATGTAATTTT